CCCACGGAGGCCCCTCTGAGCTTCCACGAAGCATCTCTGTGTGCATATACACGTCAAGCACCGTTGGGTCTGCTGGGTCATTCCACCCAAGTGGCAGAGCCACTGGCGTGGCAACCTGGACTGGTTGCATAACCTTTTGTTCTGGACCCCACTCAAAACAGGCAACTGTTCAGGTCAATTGCTAAGTGGGTTTAAGTGGTACTTCATTGATACCATTGGTAAATGGAACTCCCGTGGTACCTTGACCTGAAACGTGAGCTACATCGCTAAAATCTCAAGTGCCCACGAGGCACTGTGCTTCCTTCTCAATAGACAGGAGGGCCAGATGCTGTTACTTGTCCTACCATCTGTAAGGGATATCTCAACATGCCCCAGACTAAAGGACCCCTGAAAAATGCCGCTGGAGTGGCAGACCCCTAAGGCGTGTACGTGTCTTCCACGTCATCACCCATGCTGATGTCCTGTGGGGTGCAAAGATAATCCGGGTCCCTCTGGACTAGATAATGGTATAGAGCTGGAGAGTTGATGCAGCCCTGCAGCTGGAAATTGTAAGTGTATTGCTGTCCCTGCAAGCTGAGAGCAAATGCTTCTCACAGTTTACTAATAGGTATAAGGAAAAAGTCATTCTGCAGTGGAATAATTATAAAACAGGTGCCGGGGATGTGCTGATTTGCTCTAGCAACAATATCCACAGCAGCCGCGATTGGAGGTGTTGCAACGTCTTTCTCTAACAGGCATCTATCTTCCATACAGGCAGGCAAAGAAGCATTCTTGTCCTATATGCAGATCTTTTTAAATTTGTATTTTGTAGAGGCAGTGTCTCACTATGTTGCCCAGGCTAGTCTCAAACTCCTGGGCTCAATCAGTCCTCCCACCACAGCCTCCCAAAGCACCTGGATTATAAATGTAATCCATCCCGCCTGGCCCTGTCTGTGAACCTTGAGTGAGATTTTTAAAGCCCTGAGCCCATCACTATCTCTTTCCAAGTTCTCCAACCCATAATAATTTTGTTTCCATTAAAATACTACGTGCCATCAACTACCGGTCACTCTTGAACAGGTGTGTACACAGGTGATCATTTAAGTAGCTGTTTTATCTCTTCAGGCTGTGGTCAATCAACGTCCCCCTTGCCAATAAAAACCAGCATGTGTGCCCTTAAATCTAGTCGAATAAGACAACCTATTCAAGATGAGCCAGACGCAATTCACACAGCCCATCCTTCAGGCTCTGTTCCTCAGAGACCGCGTCTAGTACCAAATTCTATAGAGGTCAGGGAGTTCAGGCAGAAAGGCAGCAGTACACTTATGTAACAATCCTTTTTTTTTTGAGATGGAGTCTCGCTCTGTTGCCCAGGCTAGAGTGCAGTGGCGTGATCTCGGCCCACTGCAACCTCCACCTCCCAGGTTCAAACAATTCTTCTGCCTCAGCCTCCCGAGTAGCTGGATCTACAGGCACACGCCACCGCACCAGACTATTTTTTTGTATTTTTAGTAGAGATGGGGGTTTCACCATATTGGCCAGGTTGGTCTCGAACTCCTGACCTTGTGATCCATCGCCTGCCTCAGCCTCCCTAAGTGCTGAGATTACAGGCATGAGCCACTGCATCCGGCCTAACTAATGCTTTTTTGGTAGAGATTTGACCTGGTACAGATGGGATTGCTGGCTTAGTCCTTCATAGGAGGCTGCTTTTCCTGTGTCTGATGCTATAGCCTGAAGTTAGCAGGGCAGACAGTCTGAAATGGAAGATGACTGTGAAGGGGCGGGGGAGAGCAAGGACACACTTGGAACATGGGAGGATGCATTGAACCCAAAAGAACGAACAAGAACCAGGTGGGTCTCAATACCTTGCACCCTAGCTTCACTGCCTGTGCATCCTGCTGGGGAAGCTGGCTCCCTTACTAAACACACATCTGACCCAAGAGTCAGAGAAGTTGAACAAAGAAATCCAGCAGGCTTGACTCAGCAAGGCAAGCCAGCAGATCCATGATCCACATGCCTGAGCCACATACACGCCATGCCCTGCTCCCAAGCATAAAGAGAATATGACTGCATTTCCCATCTGCCTTTTAAATCTCAACAAAACATCTCTTTGGGCTCTAAGCTACAGCAGCTAACCAGAACCTAACCCAGAGCTCTATAGGGAAAGGAATTCTGGGAAACAGCTTAGCTAAAGTTACACAACCCAAACTTGCCACATCCACCCTGAACAAAACAAAATGTTTTCCCCGGTGCATGTTGCAAGACCTGGCTCCAGCGCCAAGCTTCCCCTGTGTGATGCCATCGGTTCTACTAAGAACACAGTTTTGGGCAGAGGTGGGAGGATCACTTAAGGCCAGGAGTTCAAGACCAGCCCAGGCAACATAGCAAGAGCGTCACTTTGACAAAAAAATTAAATTAGCAAGGTGTGGTGGTGCATGCCTGCAGTCTTAGTAGCTCTGGAGGCTGAGGTGGGAGGATCCCTTCAGCCCGGGGGTCTGAGGCTATAGTGAGTTATGATCATGTCACTGCACTCCAGCTTAAGTGACAGAATGAGACTCTGTCTCTGAAAACAAAAGAGACCACAGAACACGGCTTTGGGATCAGACAGCCTGCTTCCTTCCCACCTCTCTTCCTTATTACTTGTGTGGCCTCAAGCAAAACACTTTACTTCCCACCCCTCACATAGGGATAAAAACAGAAGCCTCACTGGGCAGTTAATAATGTCTATGTGGAGACCAGGCACGTGACTCATGCCTGTAATCCCAGCACTTTGGAAAGCTGAGGTGGGTGGATCACCTAAGGTGGGGAGTTCAAGACCAGCCTGATCAACATGGAGAAATCCCGTCTCTACTAAAAAAATACAAAATTAGCCGAGTGTGGTGGCACATGCCTGTAATCAGGAGGCTGAGGCAGAAGAATCACTTGAACCCGAGAGGCGGAGGTTGCAGCAAGCCAAGACTGCGCCATTGCACTCAGCCTGCCTGGGTGACAAAAGCAAAACTCCATCTCAAAAAAGAAAGAAAGAAAGAAAGAAAGAAAAATTCGATATACCTCCTACTTCATCAGCCCACCTTAGCCCCGTCCTCCACCCCTCCACTCTGACCAGAGGGCTTTACTTTTCAGTTTGGTAACAACTACAAGGGAGCTCCCTGCTGCCCAACCCCTCTGTGAATACGCTTATAGAGATCATTTTACTTACTTTTGGAGGCTTGCATTTGTACCTGAAACACAATTCAGGTGACAGGAAAGGATCTGTATGTGTAGGGCAATCTAGCCATTAAGTATGTATGAAGATCTAGCTAGGGAGGCTTTTGCAATCTGGTCTGTATGTTTCACTAGCTCTGTTAAAATGGGATGACCTCCCTGATGGTTCTCCTGCCAACCAAGGGATCTGGAAATGCAGCAGCCGAGGAGAAACCTCTCCACAAGTTTTGGGGCTCCCTTAGCTGTCCTCGTTCCCCCAGAGCTGTTCACAGCCACCAAGGTGGAAGACAGCCACGGGATCTCCTCCACTGAGGATGAAGCCCAGAGTCCCAGACAGACTGACCCCCCCAGGGACAGCCTCCAGAATCCAAAGACACAGAGCAGAGAAGACATGGAGCTGGCCCTCAGCTGGAATCCAGGGGCTCCCCCCACAAATCCTGAATGTGGGTGAGTCCCCGAAATGTTCCTTTTGTGGACCGGGGTTGAAGGAAATGTAGAATAGTGGCCGGAGCACAGGGTTTAAAGCTGGGATCTGAGGTCAAATCCTGTTATGTGCTGTGTGACTTTGGGACAGTCTCCTAACCTTTCTGGGCCTCAATTTCCTGGTAGAAAAATGAAGGTTCTCCATGGTTCCTTACAGCTCAAACACACGCCAGCCGGTGGTGTTGCCTTCATAACCTCATAGCATCCCTCTCCTGAGTGGATGCTGGGACTCTGAGCTGGAATGTGCCAATGGGAAGGGCCTGCCCACATCCCCTCTCCTGCAGAATTTACCAGCAAAGCACTGCCCTGCCTGCCACCTGACCCTCATAGGCAAAGGGAGAAGTGTGGACTGGGTTCTCTATTCTATTATTACAACATCACGATCGAAGGAAAATGGCATTAGAGTGAAGCCTTCAGTTTCCCCCACATACCCATTCAAAATTGGATCAGGGAAAAGGCTTTGATTTTAAATATTTCATGAGCAAATTCGGCATTGAAGCCCCTCCCTGTGTGGCACTGTCAAATATAGACATGGGAGTCTAAATCAAACTTTTCGAAAACACTGGTGCATTCAGGGTAATCTCATAAAATCAAATTTTATTTTGAAAACATTCAACATTAGAGCTTTTTAAACATAGACCCTGTTTATCATGTGGTTATTTTGGGGTATGTCAGAATAAAGAAGCCATAGGTCCTTTCTTGGAAGGACGCTCCTTTGTTTTGGATACATCCTTTCTTCCTGCAGGCTTGGTAGCAAAACACCCTTTCTTTTATGAATTGATAGATGAGTTGGTTTTTTTTTTTTAATGGCCCTACTTTGTAAAAAAAAAAAAAAAAAAAAAAAAAAGTAAATAAATAGACCCCATAACTGTGCTATTTAAAAAAAATTCCTGCTGTGTGAAATCCCAGAACCTCAGCATCCCCCATATCAGCATCAAGGTGAGCTTTAGAAGCCTCCTTTTACATTGCAAGGAACAAGACACTTTCTTTCTCAAAGAGACTGAACGACAGAGAGGTTCAGTAATGAGCCCAAGACCACACAGCTGGAGGAGCCAGCGTTGGGACTTGAATGCCACCCTCTCTGACCTGAAAGCTGAAGCTGTCATAATTACCAGTTATCTTTCCCCCACCCCATCAAGGAAGAATGAGACCCAACACTGGGCTGGAGAGGACCCCAGGGTTTAAGGAAATGAGCCCAAGAGAAAGCCTGAAACTCAACCCAGAAAACCCTGCACTTACTTATCTTCCCTTCTGTCTCTGAGACAAGGTAGATAACTTCAGGTTTATTGCCCCAGTGGCAGAGAAAGAGGCACCAGTGATCCCCCACAGTGGAGGAAAATGCCAATGTGGTTTTTATTAGCCTTGAGAAGGAATTTTATTTAATATCCATGCACCAGATTTAGAGAGTCAATTTGGCTCTTCTTGTGTAGAAATTCTCTGGAGGGTGCTGGTGATAATCTGCTCACAGAAGCTGAGAAGTAAGTGCATCTCAGGAAAGTGTTCCAGCTGGAGCCAGGATGCTGTCTTCAGAGAAGAGAGACACAGCCAACCCTCAGTTGGGGGAGAGCTCTTGGCACCAAAGGGGCTGCCCTCAGAAGTGGAGGCTCTGGGACCCTACCAAGTCCTATGACTAGAGTCGCTCTCCTGGGACTCTCTGGAGAGCATGGCCCTGGGGGGTCCTCGAAGCTTCAGGAAGGATGGAGGTCTGCAACATAGGAGCCTCTCTCAGGAACCCAGCAGAGTAGGAACTCTGTGTTGCCAAAGAACAGAGCAAATGCTTGGTCTGGAAAAGGCTCGCTGGGGATGCCTAGAAGCAGAGGATGTTGGGAAAGTATTGGTACCGCGGGTTGTAGCTCCATAGGTTTCTCTTGAGGCAGTAGACGAGCTTCCGGTCACAGGCACAGAGCTGCACACGACAGAAGGGCCCCGGCTCTGCAACAGAACACCAGGAGCAGAATGACAGTGGGAAGAGCGTGCTTGACTGACTGATCACTCCCATCTCAGCAGAGACCCCATGGACCTCCTGCTCCGAGGAGCTCTCAGCTTGATGAAGGAGGCACGGCTCCTAAACCGGGGGAATGGATAATCTGATGGAAGGGGCACAGCTGCTGCTCAGGGTGATGTTTCAGTCCAGGAGACCGCTCCTGCCCTCAGGGAGTTCCCAGTCTGATAGAGGAAGCACACTCCTTCCTCTAGGGGACTCCCAGACTGATGGTGGAGGCAGCCACTGCTCTGGAGGAACTCTCATTCTCACAGAGCAGAAACCATCCCCAGGCCCTGAGCTTGAATCCTACTATGTGCACTGGCAGGCCTTCAAGCTTCCATTTCCTGATGTCTAAAATGGAGGAGACTAAACCTACTCTACTGGTATTTGGGGATCAAGAATCCAGAAAAAGGAAGCATGTCAAGCCCTTGCACAGGGTGGATGCTAAGATGTTTCAGCCCTACCCCGAGGGTCTGATACAGCTGCAATAATCCTGCCCCTCTCATCCCAGTTCTGCACCCAACCCCATCATCCCCAACAAGATACAGGCTGACTGTCCTCTAGGGCAACTGAACTTAAATGGTCCAGACGGGAAGCCCCAGCCTTACCAGCAGGTGACCAGGCCCCATGCGAATCTGTATTTGTAGGACTGTGTCCAAATGTTGCAGCCCTTCTCCTCCAGCCGTCCATAGCAGTGGTCATGCACCCAACAGCACCTGTCCATGCAAGAGACTTAGATCCTGAGCAGGAGGGGTGCCCTCCTGACCCCGTCCCTAATAGGAGCAAAAATTCAACTATGTCACTTTAGCAGAGGCCACCTTGATGGAAGCAATGTGGCAGAGATCTGGTAGTGTGACTGAGTAATTTCCTGCTCCTCATTTCCAGCCAGCAGGTCATGGATCCTTGTTTTCCTCTTGGTCTCATGATTAGACTACATTTCCCAGCCTCCCTTGCAGGTAGGTGTGGCCACATGACTTGATCCCTGCCAGGGGAGGTGGGTGGAATTGATGCACTCCACCTCCAGACCTGCCCAGACAAACCTCTCACACTTTCCTCCACTGTCCCTCTGCCTCCATCCTTCAGCTGGATGGAGAAGACCCAGCAAAGGATTCTGAGGCCACACGGGATGGCAGAACCACAAGATGGGAGGAGCCAACGCGTGATTCATACTGAACTGTTATGTGAACCAAAAATAAACTTCTTATATCATAGGTCCCACACCTGTAGATCAACCAACATGAATGGAAAGTGTACAGTAGGCCTATTTTCTTGTGTCTGTACTAAACATGAACAGACTTTTTTCTTGTCATTAATTCCCAAACACTACAACAGCTACTTCCATAGCATTTACATTGTATCAGCTATGATAAGTAATCTAGAAATAATTTAAAGTATACCATCACAGCCAGCTCACGCCTATAATCTCAGCATTTTGGGAGGCCAAGGCAGGCAGACTGCTAAAGTCCAGGAGTTTGAGACCAGCCTGGGCAACATGGCAAAGTCCTGTCTCTACTAAAAATACACACAAATAAATTAGCCAGGCATGGTGGCATACACCTGTAGTCCCAGCTACTCAGGAGGCTGAGGTGGGAGAATCACCTGAGCCCAGGAGGTCGAGGATGCAGTGAGCTGAGATCGCACCATTGCACTCCAGCCTGGGCAACCAGAGTGAGACCCTATCTCAAAGAAAAAAAAAAGGTCGGGGAGAGGATACGAATCACATAGGTTATATGCAAATACTATGTCATTTTATATCAGGGACTAGAGCATCTGCAGATTTTGGTATCCACAGGGGTCCTGGAACCAGTCCAGGGGATGACTTTATGTTAGGTGCAGCAGATTGCATATAAAAGGTTTTCTTGGTTTACAGAAAAACCGAGATCTTACAGAGGAAACACCTAATTTCTCCTATGACTAACATCTTACATTAGGATGATACCCTTGTTAGAATTAATGAACCAATATTGATATATCATTAACAATAATTATTCACTAAATAATAATATATTGTTACTATCTCACTGATTGTAAAAAAGTCGTAATTGATTCAGCGTTCCCTCATTTTTACCAATGTCCTTTTTCTGTCCCAGGATCCCATGTTACATTTCATTGTCTTGTCTTTTTTTTCCTTTTTTTTTTTTTTTTTTTTTTTGAGATGGAGTTTTGCTCTTGTTGCTCAGGCTGGAGTGCAATGGAGCAATCTTGGCTCACTGCAACCTCCACCTCCCGAGTTCAAGTGACTCTCCCGCCTCAGCTTTCTTAGTAGCTGGAATTACAGGCATGCACCACCATGCCTGGCTAATTTTGTATTTTTAGTAGAGATTGGGTTTCTCCATGTTGATCAGGCTCGTCTTGAACTTCCGACCTCAGACAATCAGCCCATCTCTGCCTCCCAAAGTGCTGGGATTACAGGCGTAAGCCACCGCGCCTGGCCCATTGTCTTCTCTCTTTAGACTCCTCTTGTCTGTGGCAGTTCCTCGCACCTTCCTCGTTCTTGACTGTTTTGAGGCATACTAGTTAGATATTTTATAAAATGCCCACTATTGGGATTTGTCTGATTTTCTTTTTTCTCATCATGAGACTGGAGTTTGGGGTCATTTTGTTGCTGAATTGTTCCAGTCTTGGCTACTGGGGACTCTTTCAGTCAGCACATCTACCTCTTGTCACATTGCCATCAATGTGGGCTTTCGTTTTGTTTTTGTTTGAGCACTTCCTTGCTTTTTGTCACTAAAAGAAGTTCCAGGCTCATCTTGCATATTTCCCTGCCTTGGTCCTAGAATTGGCCATTTCTTCAAGGAATCCTGGTTGTGTGTGTGTGTGTGTGTGTGTGTCTGTGTCTGTGTGTGTGTGTGTGTGTGTGTGTCTGTGTATGTGTCTGTGTATGTGTCTGTGTCTCTGTGTGTGTGTGTCTGTGTGTGTGTGTCTGTGTCTGTGTGTGTGTCTGTGTGTGTGTGTCTGTGTATGTGTCTGTGTCTCTGTGTGTGTGTCTGTGTGTGTCTGTGTGTGTGTCTGTGTGTGTCTGTGTGTGTGTCTGTGTGTGTCTGTGTGTGTGTGTGTCTGTGTGTGTGTCTGTGTGTGTGTGTCTGTGTGTGTGTGTCTGTGTGTCTCTGTGTCTGTGTGTCTGTGTGTGTGTCTGTGTGTGTGTGTCTGTGTGTGTGTGTCTGTGTGTGTGTCTGTGTGTCTGTGTGTGTGTGTCTGTGTGTGTGTGTCTGTGTGTGTGTGTCTGTGTATGTGTGTGTGTCTGTGTGTGTGTCTCTGTGTGTGTGTGTGTGTGTGTGTGTCTCTGTGTCTGTGTGTGGGTGTCTTGGAAGGGTTCTTTTACTGAAGAATAACATTGGAAACCAGTGGAAACCAGATCTAGGCATTAAGTGTGCTTGTTGCTACTGGGGTGTCATTTCTTTTAGGGCTTCTCCACTGACAGCAAAAGAATGTTTCTTTTTCCCATGTGTATAAAAAAAAGTATATGATCACACAGGTTATATGCGAATACTATGCCATTTTATATCAGGGACTAGAACATCTGCAGATTTCGGTATTCACAGCGGTCCTGGAACCAGTCCAAGGGACGACTATATGTTAGGTGTAGCAGATTGCACATAAAAAGTATTGTTGGTTTACAGAAAAATGGAGATCTTACAGAGGAAACACCCCTTTTCTCCTATTACTCACATCTTATATTAGCATGATACTCATAAATCCATGATATCTATACATACTGGTATCTGTGCCTACTTCTACACGTAAACATCTGCCTCTATAATAAGCTAAACTGGAGTCCATGTTGAGGTCTCTAACTCTAGTCCTTTTGCATATGGATCATTCTGGCTTCCTGCCCTGGCTTATCCCACTCCAACAGTGAGAAACTTGGCCCCAACCATCTGTCCTTTCTTTGCTTCATCATCCCTTTCCTTTATATATGTCTAGCAGTATCAGAATTGTTAACCCAGTTGAGTATGTTTTCCAAGGAACAGAATCTCCCATTTCACACATTCTTCTAGAACTTTAGCACTTCCCGATCAAGAGGTGGAATCTACGTCCCCTTCCTCTTAAAGGCTTTGAGACTGCCTTGACAGTACAGTGTAAGTGACACAGTACTCTTGGCTTTGAGACTGCCAAGAGTACAGTGTAAGTGACAGTGGAATTTCTGAGGCTGACCATAAAGCACCATACCCTTTAGTCTTGCAGTTTCGGGATACTCACTGTTGCAACCCAAGAGTCACCATGGTGGGAGGAATCCCAAACATTCTGGGAGAGACCTAAGTGACAGGAACTGAGGCCTCCCACCCACTCCTAGGCCAGGAGATGCTGATAACTTGCCAGCCACAGGAGTGGGTCATCTGGAAGGTGGATTGTCCAGCCCCAGTTGTCCAAGTTGAAGCTGAGACAAGCCACTCCCACAAACCCTACCCAAATGGAGGATTCACAGGCAAAGTAAATGATCAGTGCTGTTTAAGCCACTACCTTTAGGACCACTTGTTATGCCACAGTAGACCAACTGACAACTTAGGCCACTGAGATCTTGGGATTGCCAGCTAAATTCTTTGAGACTTAGTTTTCTTATTTATAAAGTGGTACTTTAATACTCATCTTCCAGAACTGATATGGAATTGAATAAGAAAACGTGGGTGCAGACCCCGGCGCCCAAGGGCAGTCATAGCAATCAGCTCACCAATCGGTGCCATCCTTGGGGGTCCCTTGGCCGCCCCAGCCGCAGTAACAGCCGTAGAAGCCATAGTTCTTCAGAGCGTTCTTCCCTGTCACCTTTTCGATCATGGATTTTAGGTCCAGCAAGCCCCCTTGCACAACAGGCACACCTGGAAGACAGCCCATATTCCCAGGTGACACCCAGGCAGCCCAGCCCTGCATTAGGCCCACTGCCCAGCACCTCCTACCCTTTCTCCCACCTGGGGCTTGGAGGGACCTTCATGCCTCTTTTTAAGTCTCTCAATCAGTGGGAGGGGACATGCAAGCAGTATGGAGAATTGGTTAGGAGTTTGGAATTGAAACATGAGCAGACTTGGGTTCAAATCCTGACTCTGCCACTAATTCAAAGTATGATATTGAATAGAGTCAGAGTCCTCGGTTTCCATCATCTGGAAAATGGGGACCCAAAATTAGCAGCTACATCTTGGAGTTGTCATGAGGGTTAAAATAACATCACATATGTGAGTTTTGAGCATGATGACAGGCACATAATAAGTGACCATGACATATAAGGTGTAATTCATGAGGTATTTTCACGAAGCAGGAAGACAGGAGCTTCCTGTCTCTCCTGGCAATACATTCCTCTTCGCCACCACTCCCCTCTCCCTCACACTTTTTAGAACATAAGACAGAGAATCTAAAAGCAGGATGGGACTCTTAGAAATTGCTGAAGGCAGTTCCCTCATCTTACAAATGGGAAACTGAGGTTTGGAGGGAAAAGGTACCCTGTCCAGGGTTTCACAGCCAGCCCAAGGCCCCCTGCTCTCCCCTTGCCCCAGGCCTCCAGCTCCTCCTGGGGTCTCCAGGCACCTGGCAAGACATTAAAGAGCAGGACAGCCTGTGAGGGGATTGCATATACGGTCATGGGGCTGCAGGGTAGGACTAAAGCCATCTGTACAGTCGCCTCCCAGCTGGACAAGCCAGAGCTGAGAATGACCCAGGAATTGTGGGTTGGAATATTTAAATATGAGCTTTGATTTTTATTTTGATTGATTTGGGGATTTTTTTTAAACCTTATTTTATTTGCATACGAGGAAAAACATCTGCCTCCTACATTTGCCAGCCATGTAACCTCCATGTCCACCACCTTTATACAGCTGAGGTGTGATATCTCCTAGGACCCTGCCACAGCCCCACCCATGGACTGCAATTAGCCCACGTCAGATGAGGAAGCAGAAGCTTGGAGGGATAAAGGCTCTTGCTGACGTCTATGCAGTCAGTGCAGAGCCAAGATTCAAACCCAAGTCTCTACCACCTCAACGGCAGGTATCCTTTTCACCACCCTATTACTCTCATGGGGTAGAAGTTAATTCAGAGGTCGTGGGGCCATCCACTTACTACAAGCCAGGAACCAAGCCAGTGGGAGGAGGCCCTTCATCTCTGGGGTTCTGGAAGAGAAAACACATCCCACTGACAGGCCTATCAGGCAATGCCTCCACGGCCCATTCAGATCCCACCCTGGCTCCCCAGCAGGCCCCGCCTATTCCACTCTCTGTCCTGGTGGGCAATAAACAAGATGAGCCTAGCCAGAAAAGATGAGGCAAAAAACTACAGGTCCCCTGAGGTCTCTGGAGGCAGAGGGGCAATAATGGAAGCATTTGCTGGGAGACTGTTCCGACCACCAGTGCGCTTTTAGCTGCAAACCCCCCAGACATACTCACCCCATCAGGCAAAATGGCTAAAAGGGACCAGAGAATGGCCAGGGTTCTTGAATGGAGATTTGGTGGCATACGTGGAGAAGCAGGACTTGATGTAAACTAGACATGGCCTTGGATAAAAGATGTAAGAAGCTTTCAGGAAGCAAAAATTCCTGGAGAGAGCACTCGGCGCCACAGCAGGAGGGCAGAGGAAAGCCAATGATCCTACGTCTCATACTCTAGCTCACAATACCCTAGCTGCCTGTTTGCAAGCATGTCTACCCTGATGGTTCTTTGCAGGCAGACACTGGGCGATGCACCCCTCTATTCTAACACTGAGAATAGTGCTTGGCCCAGAGTAGGTGCTCAGCAGTGAACCCTGAGCCCCCACAACGTGCCAGTGGCTTTCAGGGCCTGGTCATGGCTCTTATGGGCCCCAAGCACCTCTGCCTTTGTAGGCGTGTTTCTGCGATATATTTATATTTATATCTGGATCCACACGATTATTTTTGACAACTATGTTGGTATAAAGAAAAATATAATCCAAGCTGGATTTATTATTATATATTCTTTTCTTTCCTCTTGATTTTAAAGGAATTTAGAAAATTAAGACACTCTCCTGGGCCCCAGGTTCTGTGTCTATCTAAAGAATAAGTCAACCCTGGGAGTTCATGGGAGTGCTGCAGGGTAGGTATCATGGTCCCTATTTTGCCACTGAGAAAGGTGAGGCTCAGAGAACTCAGGACACAGCCACTGAGTAGTGGAGGCTGGATTCAAGCTCCGTCCTTCTGCACCCCTCACTGCACCACACAGCCTCCCTTCCCAGCATGAATTCTTTGAGGGGGTTTGTTTGTTCCTTCTCATCCTCTACCTCTCAGGCAGAAACGCTTGGCTTCACTCCTTAGAATCTGTCTTTGGTAAAAACAGCCATTGCTAGCCTAGAGTCCAGGAAATTCCATATGTCTCAGGCCAGCACCTGATTCTAATTTGGCTTCTCAGAGGTTCCTTGCCGGCAGCCGCTTGATTTCCTTCCTCCCAGGATTCAAAGTCCTTGTTTATCCACAGCTGGACAAGCCCAGGCTTTCCCCTTCAGTGCCCCGTTGTCTCGAGTCCCTGAGTTGAATGGTCACTTGTGCCAGTGCTCTGCCGGAAACCCTGGCACCTCCCAAGTCCTGCCCTCCAAATTCACCTCAGACTCCTTGGGGCTCCCAGTTACAGAGCTGGCTTCCATGCCAGCCCTTGTCCAGCAGCAACTCCGAGTTCCAAGAACATTCCTGAGGGTTCTGTTCACCCACAGCCTCTGCTCCGAGGGCTGCAAACAGCCAAGGAAATGGCCCTGGACCCCACCCTTCCACACCAATCTTTCTCTGCTGCTCCCTGGAGCTGCGGCCCAAGGACGACAAGTGCCACTCACTGGGCACCTCTCGTGCACCAGGCACTATCCACTATCTTTCTAAACCCACCAATGACCTTGGCAGGCCCAGCGTCTGCTCTTTTAAACAGTTACTTGGAAGAATGACTAACAGCTTGTCGATTTTATAGATCAGGAAACTGTGGCTCAGGCAGGTGCCGCAAGTTGCCCAGGGGTTTAGCCCAGGACTGTGAATCTATTTCCTTGACTGACTCTACTCCACTGCCTCTCAGCATCCCTGGGCACCAAACATACTTTTTATTTTCTGTAGTTTATGACACTTTGACATCTTGGAGGCCTTGTTGGCCAGAGACAGCCTGCTCCTTCCAGGGCTGGTTAATTCCTAGAGACCTCAAATGGCTCCTCTGTGAGCATGCCTTTCATATGCAGACGAACTGTGACAGTAGTGAACAGGCGACCAACAGGTGATGGGCAGGCAGTTGGTAACTGTCTCTCTAAATAACTGGTCGCAGCCAGCACGGGGAAAAGGCAGTTTTCCAATAAACAGGAACACCTGAAGCTGGTGATGAGCAGCTCCCGGATCAGAGCTCAGGAGTTGGGCAAGTGGGCTCACACATGCGCACTAAGAGGCAAAATGGCGGCGTTTAACTGGTGTGTGACCGGCCAGGGACTTTCGGCTGGTAAGGGAAGACCGCCTCAAGGACGCATGCGTGTAACTCAGTAAACACACTGCGCATGCTCCCTCCCGAGTGCCGGCAGGCCACTGTGCATGCGCACGGCCCACCCAAGGGGAGAATCGGGATAAGAAACACAACACCCTGGAAATATGCCGGTGTATAAAACCCCAGGTCAGGCCGGGCATGGTGGCTCACGCCTGTAATCCCAGCACTTTGGGAGGCCGAGGCGGATGGATCACCTGAGGTCGGGAGTTTGAGACCAGTCTGACCAGTGAGAGACCAGCTTGACCAACATGGAGAGACCCAGGCTGTATTAAAAATACAAAATTAGCCGGGCGTGGTGGCACATGCCTGTAATCCCAGCTACTTGGGAGGCGAGGCAGGAGAATCGCTTGAACCCCGGAGGCAGAGGTTGCAGTGAGCCAAGTTTGCAACATTGCACTCCAGCCTGGGCAACAAGAGCGAAACTCTGTCTCAAAAAAACACACACAAAACCCAAGTCAGAGATCAAACAGCACGCCTCACTCTCACGTCGCCTGCTTGCTCGGCCCTCTTCGAAGTATACTTTCCTTCCTTTAATTCCTGCTCTAAAGCTTTTAATAAGCTTTTACTTCTGCTGTGAAACTTGCCTCAGTCTCATTCTCCTGCCTTATGCCCCTCAGTGGAACTCTTTCTTCTGGGGAGGCAGGAACTGAGGATGCTGCAGATCGGTATGGATACGTCCTACTGCAGACACTGCCAGTCCCCCCGCACACCCCGCCACCTTTCCCTCACTCTCACCCTCCAAGCCAAGGTTTCGCCTCCCCATATCACCACCCCAGGCCCAGACACTGGACAACTAGGGAAGGCTGGAGTCCCACTGACATGATTCAAACTGGCTGGTCCTAAATCGTATCCCCTGCTCTGCCCCCTTTCCCTCGGAGGTCACAGCAAACGCCCTGGGCTATGCTTCCCGTGGCTCCTCCTGATGACCTGGCACTTCCAGCATGGCCCTGGGTGGGAATCACACCCTCTTCTCCTGGGAGCTGTAAATAGCAAGCTATCTTTTAAAAGGCAAGAATTTCCTGATCTGTTGGCCTCCCTATACCTGAAGAAAACCAACCTCCCAGGTGCATTTGAGAACACTCTGGAAAGAGTAAGAAAGCAGTTTCATGGTGGAGGTGGCAGAGGCATGGATGGCTGCCCTGAAGAGTGGCCACTCAGTGGAGCCCAAAGTGGGCCCCAGGAGGAGGATGTGGGCTCAGCTATTTTAATCAAAGGACCACAGAGAGGAAGCGCATAGCCACAAGAGAATTTCGGAGGAGGGCAGCGGTTGCAGTAATGACAGGGAGAGAATGGAGACGAAGGACCAAAGGAAGATGTGGAGGCCGGAACGTGGCCAGGTCGCTGAAGGACGGGTCCCCCAAGTCCACGTGCGGCAGCTCCAGGACTTCCCAGTTCTCGCCTCCTGGCTGGAAAGAAAGCGTAGTGCCGAGCCCCACTGCACAGAAGGCGCCTCCCAGCCCTCCTGCTGTCTGTGAGGGAGGCGATGGGAGTTTGCCCCTCTCCCGGCCCGGTGCCCCTGACCAAGGGGGCCAGGTGTCTCCTCTCCTAGCCCCTCCCTCGGCCCTGTTCCCCGCACCTCCCTCAGGCAAAGCAAGCCCCAAAGATGTGATTCCTCACCAGTGAGACCTTTTCTCTGTCCTCGGGCCCGTGGAAGATGCCAGGGAGGGGTCCGCCTGGTTTTAAGGACCTCTCTGTCACCTCCCACACTCCTACGTGGGCCAGCTCCAAGATTCCTGGTAACTCACATAGGAAACCTTGCTTCCCCTCACCCTGGCATGACCCCTGGGGATTTTTTTCCACTGTGTATGCAGAAGCGGTTTTTTTTTTTTTTTTTTCCTTTTTTTTTTGCGACGAAGTCTCGCTCTGTCGCCCAGACTGGAGGGCAGTGGCCCTGTCTCAGCTCACTGCAGCCTCCTGATTCAACCAATTGTCCTGCCTTAGCCTCCTAGGTATCTGGGATTACAGGCACACACCACCACACCTGGCTAATTTTTTTTTTGTATTTTTAGTAGAGAAGGGGCTTTACCATCAGGCTGGCCTTGAATTCCTTCCTGACCTCAAGTGACCCACCTGCCTCGGCCTCCCAAAGTGCTAGGGATTACCAGGCAGAAGTAGCTGTTTTCCGTAGCAGGTCACAGTGCCCAGGTGGCTTTCGGGAGAGACAGTGATCAGAGTCAGGCTTGGGCCACCCACGATCCAGGGCTCTTCCCTACCAGGAACAGAAGTCCTGGAATCCCCCTCCCGGCACAATCTCCCTCCCACCCACCACACTGGCTCTTTGTCAAGTCCCCCAGCCCTGGGATTCTGCTCAGATTTCATCCTGTCTCGCTCAGCCTCAACCCAGGGACAGCCAGGGAAGACAGGCGGCCCCTGCTCCTGGACCTGAAGCTTTGCCCTGTCCTCTTCCTCACCTGCCAACTCCCAACTTCTTCTGCCCCATACCTGAGCTGGGGTGACTCAGGAGGTGCCTGCAGAAACACAACTCTGAGTTACCTACAGAACGTTGCTCCCCCACGTCCAGGTGGTAGCCCTTAGTCAGCACCTGACTCCCTGCTAACTTCCTACAGCTCTTCCCTAGGGGAAGGGGAAAGTGCCAGGTTTGCAGTTAGAGAGATGCAAGCTGGAGTCCCAGCTCAGCCACTTCAGTAGCTGTGTGA